TGGTAAGTAAAATCAGAATGCAGATATTTTTATTTCATTTTGCTTTTAATGTTGTCAATAAATAAACACAAATACAGAAATAGAACATTAACTGAGGAGGGTGAGAAACAAGATGGGGCTTCAGGGTCATATCTTCTGCTCTCCTACCTGAAACAGTTTGAAATCATTTTATTCACATTTCTTTTTATGCACATATACTATTATTTCTGCATTAGGAGCTTACAAACGTGAGTTTCTATGACCTTTGTTTTATTGTAGAATAGTATGTCACTAAATGAATATTTCGCTACAAAAAATGATTTCCAGGTTAAATCTTCTTGAACATGCAGCTAACTAGTTTAGATAAAACAGAGTTTAGATAACCTAAAATAAATTATATTAATCAGTATTTAAAAAAAACAAACCTGTCTATTTGTTGTGTTAACATTTTTAAAATGATACATCAATTCTAAAAAACATTTAATACAGTGGTACAGTGGTGCCAAGATACTCATGACCCCATTTAAATTTCATTAAGATGTACTTGTTATGTGCTTGTTTTGACTATTTAAAACACTAACAAAAAAAAAAAACACTTGACCAGTTACAAACTTTTCAAAACATTCGTATTGATTTACAAATGTTGAGGACAAGTATGAAGAATGCTGGCTTGATACATAATTGTGTATCTTATATGTGTATATGGGTATCATTTGTCTTAGCAGAGTCTTCTCTATGTGTGAATGTATATTCTTGTCTGGTTCTTAATTAAATATGTGCCTCTCTATTAGTGAAAAAATGTAAAATATTTTTTTCACAGTAGTACCACTCTTCTCAAAGTGTTAGTTGAGGATGCACGAAAAATTGTTAGAGCAGCTTTATTTAGTTAATCAGTTTAGGCAGTATATGGTAAACTATGTTAAGACAACATATAAAGAGGTTTTAAATTCTCTGTTACTTACGATAAACATATATTTGGTGAGGGGGAGGATAGATACACTTAAAGCAAGACACACAAATGCTAGTTTTACCATCATATTGGTTATGAGTTCTGTTAAACAGAATGAAAACATCAAGTATATGGCTTCGTAGTTGGCCTTTTTAGAGACCTTGGAAGCACAGTAGCTGTGTCCTGATAAAAGTATCCAAAAACACACTTCAACTTTATTAACATCTTTCTTGCTGGGTGGATTAAGATCAAGAAATACAGGATGTCTCAAAGTCACGTAACCATAAGCGATTAAGACAGTATTGACATGTATCTTGAATTTCATGTAAATCTTAAAGAATATAATTGTTAATCTGTATGGAAGGATTACTGTAAGGAATGGGAAGACAAGTGGTTTTTGATTGTACAGGTAATATAGGAAGATATTATATTGCAGTAGACACTGTTGCATAAACCTGTCCCAAGATGACTAAGCATAAACAGACCAGAACCAAGCGGAAATTTACTAATGGGTACAAAACTTATATAATGTATAACGGGCCATCAAGTAACTAGATATTGGTGCAATAAGTGTAAATGTGGTGTCCATGTGCATTTGGTAAACATGAGGCTTGTCAGGGTTGGGAATAAAAGAATGCAAGGTCTCTTGTAGGCATTAGTGTCAGAACAAGAGCAATTCAGTGAGCAGGTTTTGATGGAAGGAATTGTGATCCTCAACTCATGGCTTGAACCATCTTGGAATAGGCGTAGTCTTTACACAGACTGGCAGCATTAGACAGGACGTAGTTTCATGCTTCAGCAGAACATTGGAGTGTCTAATCTTGGCCAAGGTTAGAATGACCAGAAATTAGCCTCACATTTTATTAGACTGGGGTCTGGGATAATAAGATATCTTTTAAATATTAACCTTTAGTGAACCTAATACAGCTCCAGGTTATGAGTCTGAAATAAATTTTTGCAGCAAAGCAGATTTGTGTTTTTAATTTAATGTATACTTTTTCTTTAAGGGAACCTAGTATCAAAATTTTGCATAATTCCAATGCCTTTTTAATGATTTTTCTATATGTTTTGCATTTTATATGCACACATACATCCTTCATCTTGTTACTGTGGTATTTTGGACAAAAGAAACATATACAAGTACAAATAGATACAAAGCTGCTTATGTACCAATATTAATCTGATAAGTTTGCATTATGAATGAAAGCAGCTGAACATATACTTTTCACTACAGTATTGTACATAATGCTACCATGTCTTTAAATCTCCAAAGCAATATTTTCATCATAGCTTCCCTTTAAAAACTAAAGTTGGGCCTGTCCTTTGAAGACTAGCTTGACTCTTCAAGGCTCCATAATTTGGGGTAATTTCTGCTTGATCTCTTGCAGGACAATCAATGAATCCATTATTTTATTGGATTGTAATAAGAAAATTCAAGCAGTAAAGAAACACTATAGTAGTAAGAATACATAGCTATATTCATAACACTAGAGTGTCCCTCTGCCCCTCCGGCCATGTAAACGGTTAAAAAAAAACCTTTAAACACTTACCTGATTCCAGCGCTGATGTCCCCCTCCTCCTCTGATGTCACGTCAATGTGGGAACCTAATGCACATGTGTGGCAAGTGCCATGCATATTAGGTCTTCCCCATAGAAACATATTGACGCAATGGTTTCTCATCACGCTGGATATCCTCATGCAAAGCGTGAGCACGTCATTACCGTTTCACAGAGTCAACTTCATGAAACTGGTAGACAGCCACTAGATGCAATCTTAACAGTGCAATGTAAACATTGACGTTTCTCTGTAGCAGCAATGCTTTAGATTGCAGGGTTAAGCGAACAGGGAAACTGTACGCAGACTACTTTAATCAGATTAAGTGGTCTGGGTGCCAATAGTATTCCTGGATATCAACATTATTGTGACTTCCTGATAACCAGACTTGAGCACTGCTATTTCTGGCTCATACATTGGTACATTGTTGACTCAGGACACATCGTTTGGTTTAATAAACAACAGACTCTGAATGCCTGACACATTTTAAAAGCTCTGAGTTGACTAAAATATATAAAAGTAGAGCATGGTTAACCTACCATGTTTAACCCCTTAAGGACCAAACTTATGGAATAAAAGGGAATCATGACATGTCATGTGTCCTTACGGGGTTAAAGGACATGGCAAAAGCTCAAGAATGTAAATGGTCATTCTCCAATAAACTGGAACCTTGCTGGTCATATAGACTACCTATCCTCGAATTGGATCTAGATCCAAAATAATAATACCTGACACGTGTGGTTTTTATTTGTATTTTGCAGAAGGAGGTTTGACCATAAGCTCTTATTTCACTAAGTATTCAGGCTTTGGTGGAGCATGATTTGTTTCTGTATGATCCTGAAGTGCTAAAGGAGAATATCAGGATCATCTGTGGTCACTGTAGGAAGAGGTGGCATTAATAAAAGTTGTCTGGAAGATTATTCCATCTCTGAAGCCAACAGATAGCTGAACCTGGCATTAGTCAGAGAAGAGACTGGCAAAGGATTTTCTCAAGTTACGAATGGTCTCGGCTTTTGCCTCATCTTCATTTCCACCAGAGCGCTGGGAGGGATCTGAGATGTTGAAATTGTTGGTCAGAGACTGGGATTTGCTAAAAGGAAAAAAACAATCACAAACGTCACCACCAGCTAAAATAATAACAGTATATTTGAGACAGAGAGAAAATGAATACATAACAATGAACTGTGCAATACAGTGTTTAAAAACATTATCCAGCCAATCCAATGCTTCTCTAATGAGAATATATATATATATATATATTTGTGGTTGGAAACATAATAGTAATGTGCGTGATTCGGGTTAATGCAAAGTTGGTTGGGGTATGTCGTAACCAAAGTACAGGTAGGCCTGTTATAAAAGAGGGTATTAATAAATAAAGTATAAGTGGTAAGGTGGGTGGGATGACCTGAACAAAAACAGCCCAGACAAGAGGGTAATTGGGGTTTTTATTGGATTAGACAGATTCAAATTCCTCCCACAAATACAGTGCTATGGCCTTAAAACTTGTGGTCGGAAACATAATAGTAAAATGCGTGATTCTGGTTAATGCAAAGTTGGTTGGGGTGTGCTGTAACCAACGTAGAGGTAGGCCTGTAATAAAAGAGGGCAAAAAGGTATCAAAGAACACACTTTATTGCATCAAATTTACCATTTAAAAGCTTTCCTCATTTCTTTCTCGGTATGAGGTATATAACAATTGTAGACTGAGGATTTCCATCTCCCCAATCTTTTAATAATATGTACTGGGGTGTCAGTGCTGGAAGCGGCTGAAGCTGCCCCTATTCTAAATGAATGACCTGGAAATGATGCCAGACTGAATCCCAATCTCAGGAGTAGTGTTCTAATGTATAATATGAATTTAGCAGTAGTCAGAGGGATTCCTTGCAGTGAGAGTAGTGGTAAATTGTGTGTAACATGACTGAGGGTGGGTAGAGTAAGTGTATATTAATCATGATGTTTAGTGATATCTAATATTTTTAAGCTGGAAATGATGTCTGTCTGTCTAGCTACTGTAAACTATCGGGGTAAAAAAAAAAAAGTGGAATGCTATATAAATAGGGGTTTTAATTACTTAACTCGTAGGACTGTCGAATGGTCATGAATCAAGTACATCAGAGAGGTCTCGGAATATTGGACCATCAATGGGTAACCTGGATGAAGTAGGGGGTCTGTTTTATTAATACCCCATAATATACATTTAATGGGATAGAATGTGAGGAAAGGTGTGTGATTTGTATAAGTGGTGAGTACATGATGTTGAATCCCTGTGATATAAAGTTCGATCGTGCTAATTTAAGGTGACGGTGGCAAAAAAGAAGAAAAAACTACCATGAATTCTATGGAGAAATGCTCCTGGATGTGGAATTCCATGGCAAACATTTGAAAAACTATCAAAGCCCTATCATAAGCTGTCTCTGTGTTATCAGAGAGTGCAGAACGTGATTGTGACGGGGCGTGAGACAGAAGACTGGCTAGTCCATCACAAGCTCTTGGAATAGTGGAGTCCTGGACAGGAGCCTGTCTGCTATGAGGTGAAGCCGAAAGAACACCTGAAATTGAGAGCATGAAAAAGTGTCAGCCAATTTATTATCAACACCTGAAATATGCACACAGAACAAATAAATTTGGCACGAGGCGGCAAGCCAAGCCAATCTTCGGACCAACCTCTGTTGATGATTTTGCATGCCACAACGTTGTCACAGAGACATCTAATGGCCTTCCCTGTCCAAAGGTACGCAGCTGCCACTATGGGGTAAATTTCAAACAGGGAGGACGTCTCTTTGAAGGCCGTCAAGGAGAGGGTCTCAGTAGGCCAAGAGTCTCTGAACCAAACATTCCCAAAAATAGTGGCAAACCCTGCTGCTGCATCCGTCATAATAAGGGATGATGAGTGATAAGGAGGTGGAATAAACAAATAAATGCCATTCCAAGAAATGAGAAAATGTTGCCACATGCGTAAATCAGCTACTGCAGAGGGGTACGAGACAAGAAGCCTAGAAATGAACGCCCTTCCTTGCGGGATGATTCGCATAGCAAAGCTAAGTGACCCCAGTAAAGACTGAAGCTTCCTGTAGACGAACCAACCTGCAGGAAATGGTCCATCTCCTCCCTGATGCGTAACCAGTTTCTCACCAAGGAGGCTTGCCTGAAACTTGGTGTCCAAGGTGATGCCCAGGAACACCAATCTGGTGGAGGGGACAAGAGTCTTAGGTGAAATAGGGATACCGAATGAGATAAAAAAAAAGCAGGGGTGCGGAAAGTACTTTGAGGTGTCTGAATACCAGTTTCTACCAGGAGAAAGTTGTCGAGGTAGTGAATCACCGTGGCACATCGAACGACATTAAGGAGCAGCCGACAGAGCTTTTCTGCAAAAAAATCTAACTGTTTCGGGGTGCTCCTGGAACAAAAAGTGAGTCTAGTGTAAAAGTAATAATTATCCCTCCACTTAACACCGTGAATGTGCCATAGGGATGGGGGAAGTCATAGAAGCTTGAAAGATATCAGTTTTGCTAAGCTAAGTGTGACGAAGTGCCCTTCGCCACTTGGTCCTGGAGAGGCCTACTTGCCAGCCTCCTCCCCTGTGACTATGACTCTTTCGTGTATCTGGCTTTAAAGCCCCTAGTCTATCTTCAGACAGACTATTTATGTAGGCTGCTTTATTTATCTTATGTTTTAGTCACCCTGTACCCATTATAGGTGCAGGGTGTGTGTAATGTAATTGTTTATAGTGTGTGTGTGTGTACTGTGTAATGTATTGCCTGCTCTCTTGTATTGCTGAGGTTTGCTACCAACTAGGTGGGTTTGGCTATGGAGTTTGTCTAGTGCCCTCTGTTGGTAGCAACAGCAATATGCACTACCTGAATTGCAAGACTGGTTCATTTGCATATTCAGGTAGATTTGCATATTGCTAATTCTGCAGGCAGGTGAGATATTTACTGTTAAATATTGTCTCCCCCCACCCCTTTAAAAATGTGCCATTGTGTTGTGATAAGTCACTGTGTGTTGCTTGATATGGTTTGACTGTTTGTGATGTTATTGAGGTTTCACAACAATGTTATTGTGGTGACCCTATTGGCTGGTCCCAAGGGAAATAAAGGTTTTGACAGTTCTTCTTGATCCCTCTAAACGTAGCCTTGTCTCGTTATTGGAGGAAGCTGTTATAATCACACTGGGGATTGCTATGCTCTGCATGCTCCCCTGAGCTTGAGTCACTTAGCTCTTTTAAGAGCTTGTTCCTGACACACTCTCCTTGGAGGAGGGGTCTTCACCACACAGTCCTGGATGCTGGAGGTTCATACAGGGTGGAAGGAAGAGTTCTTTCCCACACAGTCCTGGAGGACAGAAGCTGATCCAGGGTGGAAGGAAGACGGCGAGACTTCAGTCCAGATACAGCGGTTGCGGAGTCTGCGGTGGTTGTGGTGTCTGCTGCAGTGCTTGGAGTCCTCAGGAAGCGCTAGGAGCATCCGTCAACGGAGGGTACTCGGTCGGAGTACAAGGAGCTCCGTTACACTAAGCATGCCTACCTGTGTGTAAAAAGGCCTGTATGACGTTATCAACAGTGGCGTAATGTAGGGAGAATTCTTCTGCAGCGATGAGAGAATTTGTGCTTGGTGTATGTGAAGAATGAGGAGCCGAAAGGTCAATAATAAGCCTTTTTTATTTGAAGATTTGTGAGGAACATCACCAATGGGGTTCGTGCGCCATGACAGAAAAGGTGGATGGGAGAATGGGCCTAATACAAAACCTAGATGGACTTCTTTGTCCAATAGAGTATCTACTGTTGAGGGATCAGAATAGGCTGACTACAGATTGGGGCATTCCAGTGTGCCTCTGGGGAGTGGCACGAGACCTGTATGAAAACCTTTGGAAAAACCAGACACCAAGAATTCCACCAAGTGGGGGGGTGGAGGGGAGCGTGTAAATGTAAGTGATATACGAGATTGTCCAGATTAACCTCCGTAAGTCATTTGTTGGGAAAAAGCATTGCATGTGACTTAAAACATATCGAGCAGATGTGCAACAATTGACAGGCACTGTAATTGCAGGTACTAGCATTAAAATTGTTGCACACCTGTGCTTTCCCCAAGGAAACGATGGGTCTGCCCAGTTTATCCTTCTGACCCCAATCTTGAGCAACGGAGGAACCGAGTGTTTCTATGTTTCTATGTTTATGAGTGTGGTATATGCATGGGTTGTGGATGTAGATGGATCGGCTTCGCAGCGGTACAAGTTGGAGGAGTGGGAGGAAGATGAACAAATCGCACAAGCAGGTGGCTACAAGCTGGCGAAATGCCTGCAGAACAGCTCTGTATCCAAATGTCTCCAATCGGTTTGAATATTAAACTGACACCGACTTGTGATAGTCGTAAAAAGAAAAAAAAAACACACATGTGCCCTAAATTCACCAACTTTTGTAGGTAGAGATCCAGTTCCTCCTGCCTCTGGGGTACAGGAACATATGACGTTCCTGTAGAGCCCAAAGACGAGTACGAACTTGGGGATTGAAAGTTTCTTATTTAGTCTAGGGTCCCTGGCCTTAAGGACCACTGACAAATCCCAGTAGTTATAAGTTCTGTTCTCTACAATGTCCTGCAAAGCAATAAGTAGTGAGACATCCTTACCCTCTAGAATGTCTTGAATGATGAAGGTAAGGATCAAATGTGCAGGTGTGGTAATGTGAGTCGTAGAGGGAAGGGGAGTAACAGTACTCAAACTACTCTGCGAGACTGCTACCATGGGTGTATAGGAGCCTAGAGATCTTGCAGTGGCTGGAAAGGGGATGCACCTACGGCGCAGCTCAGCGGCTAGTTTAGGTATGGTCCATGACCTCAAAGACCCGGGAGTAGCAGGGTTGAGTGAGTCAGCAGGGGAACTGGAATGTGTGGGAGTGCAGGGCCTAGCTGGGGTTTCAGAAATAGACAGGCTAGAAGCTTGAGACATGCTGGAAAGTGACAAATAATCAATGACCCATACAACTGCATACCAACATGTTGAACTGGATGGCTGAATTAGTGCCATTAAGCAAACAATTAATCTCCCCCGTGATAGATGAGGCCCTGCTAATTGCCAAGTGGCAGGGAAAGGCTCTATCTATGATTTGGCTTGAAGGAAACGTAGCCATCGAAACATTATGAAGGGGAGTTGGCCTCTCGGTGATGTTTAAAGAATCAACACGTATGGCCATGACAGGTGTATCCTTACTAGGACCCGAAAGAAGAGTATGCGAGGCACTAACTATGACATAGGGCTGTGGGCAAACCTCTGCGGTTAGGTAGGGAGTTTGGCCTCGCCAATTTGTGTAGTTAACAAAGTCTAGTCTATGACAGAAATGTATAGATACAGGAAAAGTATACACATATAGGAGTAAATACAGAATGGAAGTAAGTAGTGGAATAACAAGAGAGAAAAATAGGAGAAGGTAATTCACATTCAAAAAGTGGTCAGCAGAATACTTCTCAGAAGAAGCGGGAATTCTTATAGAGATCTATGAGTAAAATTAATACGTATACCTATGAGTATAACAACAACAAAGAAAATAAAGGGGGAAGGGTAACATTAAAGTATTACTGAGAGAACTAAAAATACCTGACGGAAATAATAGTTGTAAAGTATAGAGATGATTATAAAATAAGAGCAATAGATAGAAAAAGAGACATGTTTTAACCTTAAATTGAAATGCCACCACGGGATTGTATACGACAGAAACCGTAATTTATAAGCGTCTGATTGTTAAAGTATGCTTATTGTGGACAATACGAGGGTCAAAGTAAGAGAGGCATGCCCCACACCAACCCCCAAGAACTGATAAGCATATAAGATGCATAAATGCCTGGAAAATCTGTGACCCAATATGACTAATGCTGAGTGATACCTTTAGTATGTAAAGGCATTATATTGAAATAACGTAAAATAATATACCTTACGATAAACATTAAGGAAATGATGAATGGCTTGCGAAAACTGCTGGGAATGCCACAAAGGGCCTTATGATACCAACGAGAGATTATTGCAGATCAATACAACTTATACATAATTCACAATTCCATAACTATAAGGCCATATTCGCATGTGTTTTAATTAAAATGTCTGCCCGACCTGACTAACACATGGACAAAATAGAACAGTGAACAGTTGCAAAATGAAAATACTCTAGAAACATATGATACGATACACTAGTGTTGACCCCTCCCTCCCATAGAATAATATACAGTTTTCCATAATAAAGAACATAACAAAACTGTCGTGTAGGAAAAACCGATTAACTTGAAATTTATAAACCAACCAGGAATCCCATTTTAATAGATAAGCTCCTAAAAATATGTGAATTGAAATATCAACAAATATTAACTTGACTCCCAAAATGAAGAGAACAATACTTATGAACGATGCAAAATGGATCTCAAGATAACCTAACATACGAATTTGCTCCCTAGGAAAGTACTGCTTCAATATATAGCACAAAAGTACCGAAATAACCTACCTCATAATTACCTAGACAACTGAGAGTTTCTCCCGAATTGAGCAATGCTCAACCGTTCAGGAGCAACATACCGAACAGCTTGCGTTACCTTGCAAGAAACACGCAAGACTGGACCCAGGAAGTGACCGGGAACGAGGCTCCACAGCGGATGGAGGCAGCTGTTGGTATGGAGAGCAGTCGATTTCATGGAGGCAAGTAATACAACGCTGGAACAAGGTGAGTTCAGGAAATTTTGGCGCAGAGAGCTGAACAGGAAGTCCAAGTGGTAGCTTAGGTAACATATCACTTGAACGAGAACGGTCCCAGTAAGAGGGTAATTGGGGTTTTTAAGATAGATTCAAACTCCTCCCACAAATACAGACCCATGGCCTTAAAACATATGTGATTGCTCATCTGCTCATGGGACAATAAAAGAAAATGATTGTAGGGTCAGTGGGTCAGACCATCACATTGATAGATAGGAAAGCACATGGCTTGTTGCTACAATTTAATTGTATGTATCAAGCATAGTATGACTTGCCATCTTTTCTCAGATATAATTTCACATACAGAAAGTAAAGTTGCTGGTGTGAGAACCGGTAACTGTACAGAAAATGAAGGTGCTCCCTAGTTACTAAAGTGCCCCTCTGTGTTCTTCTGTAATGTTGAGAGGGATGATCAAACAGATAGAATGTGTCAAAATATATAGGAATAATTAAATTTACTAGAACAAATACTCAAATTGGAAGATATTGGAAAATATGATCTGTACTGTATATACTACTGCATTATAAGTAGATTAAAAAGATCAGGTGTCTATATTCTATTCACACAGGATTTGAGGGTACTTACTTGAGATGAGGGTGAGGTGACGCTTGTGGTTTAGCAGTTGTTCCTTGGCCCTGTTGAGACTGTGCCTGTCCAGGAGCTTGAGGTCTTGACTGCTGTGGTGAGGCAGGCTTTGGGGCCTGATTTGGGGAAGTCCCACCTGCTGGCCGTGGTAGTTGAGGAGAGTTTGGAGACCTCTGAGTCTGGGGAGGGCTGGGCTGTGAAGTTTGTGGTTGCTGGCCCTGTGGAGACAACCTCTGCTGTACAGGAGCTCCTGGCCTGGCAGGTGTGGAACTCTGGGCTGGACGCGGACCTCCTATGTAAAAAAAGATATTTTGAAGAATCTTTTATTTGTGCTATACATGCCACAGAAATACCTACTTTCAGCAAACTACTATTAAAAGTGGACTATAATTATTTCTCAAAATTCTTCATTGGATTTTAAAATATATTTGTATCAATGGATGTCAACTTTCCCATTACAGGACTCATCTGATGCTGTCAGCCTATCACTGCTTTCCAAATATGGATGAAATTCGCATTGCTAACACAGAAGTGTAATTCTGAATTAGCAATACAGAAAGTTAGAGGCCGAGATGTGGGTGCCCCTGTTTATGGTCTCAAAACTGAGGATGGCATGCTTAGCCTAATAGCACCAAAGCCACTACAACAATATGTAGTGGTTATGGTATTTAGACTAACCATTTAATAGGATACTCTAAGGACCAGAACCCCTGCAGCTTAATATAGTGGTTTCGGTGTAAAGTGACTGTACCTGCTCCCACTGATCTGTAAACAATGTATTTTCATGTATCCCTGAGCACACCTCTAGCAATAGTCACTAGACAGACTACACCCCTATAAAATTTGAAGGGCAGTCATTCAGCATACCTACTTTCAGCAAACTACTATTAAAAGTGGACTATAATTATTTCTCAAAATTCTTCATTGGATTTTAAAATATTTGTATCAATGGATGTCAACTTTCCCATTACAGGACTCATCTGATGCTGTCAGCCTATCACTGCTTTCCAGTTATGGATGAAATTCGCATTGCTAACACAGAAGTGTAATTCTGAATTAGCAATACAGAAAGTTAGAGGCCGAGATGTGGGTGCCCCTGTTTATGGTCTCAAAACTGAGGATGGCATGCTTAGCCTAATAGCACCAAAGCCACTACAACAATATGTAGTGGTTATGGTATTTAGACTAACCATTTAATAGGATACTCTAAGGACCAGAACCCCTGCAGCTTAATATAGCGGTTTCAGTGTAAAGTGACTGTACCTGCTCCCACTGATCTGTAAACAGTGTATTTTCATGTATCCCTGAGCACACCTCTAGCAATAGTCACTACACAGACTACACCCCTATAAAATTTGAAGGGCGGTCATTCAGCATACTTAAGCCTTACATTAAAATGCTGAACTCTTCACATAGAGATGCACTAGAGATTGTAGATGCTGATTGGTGCATAGTGGTGATTGCATGTGCATTAAGTACCCCAATGCCTCTCTATAGGAAAAACTGGATTAATGAAATCATCATTAATTTCTCAAAATAAATCTCAGTTAGGTGTGGAGGGGAAGCTTTTTTTAAACAATTAAGGGGAATATGGGAGCAAATCTAAAAATTAAGTAACATTAAGTAACTGAAGGCTGTACCTTGCGGTGGAGGACGTGGCTGAGAAGGAGGTCCACCACCTCCTTGTGGTCCAGGTTGTGGTTGCATCTGTGGTTTAACTGCCTGTGGTTGCACCTGTTGGGGCTGATAAAAGGATTATAAACAGGTAATCAACAGATGGATTGACAAAACCAATGGACAGCAATATATGTAGGTATTCTGAGAGAAACAGTTACATCAATGTTTGGTGCTTTTTCCCTTTATTTTAAGCCAACAAACAAATAGAACCCCCAAACTATGGGATTCTATAAGGACAGTTTTATTAAGTATATTTGCATGACAGACCAACATTGCAAAAGTCCAGGGGCGGCTGGGCCGGGTGGCAGGGAGGCAATTGCCCCCCAGGCAGCCCTAAATAAATTGAAAAACGGTCGCTGCAGGGACGATCCTGGGCGGTTGCAAGGGTGCAAGACAGAGTAGGCACCTACTTGTCCCAGATGACAGGTGCCTATTCTGCAGCAATGCATCGGCGGGGTGAAGAAGGAGGCAGGCGGCGGCGAGGGAGCACTGCCTCTGCTGATGATCTTCCTGCTCCCTTGCGCGCCCTCTCTGGTGATGCCGGGAGCCGGAATATGATGTCATTCCGGACCCGCATCACTAAACAGTGCGAGGGAGAAGAGAGGAACAGGAAGATCATGATGAAAGCCACTGGACCCTGAGGACTCTTAAAGGTAGGAGCAAGAAGGAATAAAATTAATTTGTGAGTGTGTGTGTGTCTATCAGTGAGTGTGTGTCTGAAAGTAAGTGTGTGTGTCTGTCAGTGAGTGTGTGTGTGTCTGTCAGTGAGTGTCAGTAAGTGTGCGTGTGTGTGTGTCTGTCTGTCTGTCTGTCAGTGAGTGTGTTTGTCAGTGAGTGTGTGTGTGTCTGGAAGTGTGTGTTTGGAAGTGAGTATGTGTGTCTGTCAGGGCCATCTTTCCGCATAGACATGCTGGGCAGTAGCCCGGGGATCCCACCACGCTGCCCAGTGTGCCCGGCTGACAGGGGAGATCCCCTGCCGACCAATGGGGAGGCGGCCCTGTTTTCTGGCTGTTGGCCCTCTTGGGCCGGTGAGGGAGATCACTCTTCGATCGGTGAGAGAGGGAGCTAGGACCCAGGGCTGCAGGAGAGGCCGACCTGTAAGGCAGATCGCTCCTCCCGCAAGCAGGCTGTGTGGAGCATTGCTGCGCATTACCATGGATATGCTCCACACAGCATTCTGTGCGCAGGAGGACAGGAGACAGCCTGCAGCCAGACAAGCTGCAGGCTGTACAGAACTCACAACTGGACTAGAAGGGCTGGCTGTCCCCCCCCTTCTTTCACCAAAGGTAAGAAGAATGGTGGGGGGACGGACATAGATATTTTATTTAATGTATAGTAGTATTAAAAAAAATTAAAAACATTTGTACCTGCACCCCTCAAACTTTGCAACACACACACAGTACTACACACACACACACATAGCACACAAGGTTTTTTTTTTTTTTTTACAGTAAGAACTATAAGGATGTGGAATTCTCTGTCTGAAGAGGAGGTTTTATCAGAGTCCATACAGATGTTTAAACATCTGCAGCAACTAAAGAAAGTTAATTTAAACAGCAAAATGGATAAATACTTGCAAAAACATAATATACAGAGATACAGGCAATAGCGTCTTGATCCAAGTAAATATCTGACTACGGTTTTGGGGTCAAGAAGGAATTTTTTCCTAGTTTGTTGCAAAATTGGAAGTGCTTCAGACTGGGTTTTTTGCCTTCTTTTGGATCAACAGCAAAAACATATGTGAGGAAGGCTGAACTTGATGGACCAAGTCTCTTTTCAGCTATGTAACTATGTAACAATCCAATCAGGACAGTTGTTGCAAAATATCAATATTTATAGTGACAGGAAAATTTTTACTTTGTTGTTTTTTTTAAGTACATACAAGTAGGTACACTAAAAACTGGAATGGGTGTGTTGGTTAATGAAGACAAGGAAAAGGCAGAAATTTAAAAACAACTATTTCTCCTCTGTATATATTAAGGAAGAACCTATGGCAATAGATATTATTATTATTTTATTATTTATATAGCGCCATCAGATTCCGTAGTGCTGTACAATGGGTGGACTAACAGACATGTAATTGTAACCAGACAACTGGACGTACAGGAACAGAGAGGTGGAGGGCCCTGCTCAATGAGCTTACAATCTACTGGGAGTGGGGTATAGTGAAACAAGGGGTAAATGTAGGGGTATGAAGTAGGTTGTTAGAAAAGTATTCACTGAGGCCTTAGTAGGTAATTTTTAACAGTTACAGGAGAGGAGTCATGTGGGGTGGGGGATAAATCCTGCTAACAGTTTAATTGATATGCTTTCTTGAAGAAGTGAGTTTTCAATGATTTTTTGAATGAATGGAGACTGGTTGAAAGTCTTACGAAGAAGGGAAGGGAGTTCCACAGAGGAGGTGCAGCCCTGGAGAAATCTTGGAGGCGAGCATTAGAGGTAGGAGTACGGACAGAGGATATACGTAGGTCTTTGGCAGAGCGTAGTGGCCTCGACGGGACATACTTGTGTATTAGAGGGGATAGGAAGTTGGAGCAGCATTATGAAGGGACTTGTAAGCAAGCACCAGAATTTTAAATTGAGCCCTATATCTAACTGGAAGCCAATGCAGGGATTTACAGAGGGGGAGGCGTGGGAGTTGCGGGCGGACAGGAAAATGAGTCTCACTGCCGCATTCATTATAAATTGCAGCGGTGCAATCTGGGAACACGTAAGACCATTGAGAAGGGGATTGCAGTAGTCAAGGCGAGAGAGAACAACTACATGGACCAGCACCTGGCGTTAAATAGAGGCGGATGCGAGATATGGAAATGATTGCTGCAAAATACTTGCAGAAAATTTGCAATTGGCTAACTCAAGACAAGGTTGTTATGGGCAAATGTAAATATTACAAGTTTTAGGATGCAAAGTTGTATTTTTAAAAAAAATTTCTTTACTTGTCATCATTTAGTTGTTAACTGTTTCCTTTTTACATCATTCAATTGTCTTTAAGAGATATTGCAAACTGACAAGGTGTTAGAAATGGAACATATTGTTTCTCATACATGTTTCTTTAAGCAATAACCCCTTTCCTACTTTCAGTGCATAATGCGCTGCGTAGTTCTGACTTACGCCATTTTGTCTTAGCTTAATGGAATTTCCCATGACGTGTGCACCTTACGTTTTAGTTATGGCCTTGTATCATTGCCAAGTTAAGTGAGATCCTAAAATGAACATCTAAGGTATAAATATGTACCTTTTTAATGTAAGCACACAGGGGAGAGATTTGGAGACAGAAATGCTGCTCCATCTTATAATGACTGAGAGATGCTGACATGTTGACATGTTCAGGAGGGGATGTTATTCTATTTTAATGATATTGCAAGCATATCGTTTATTCTTATAACCTCTGCAATAAATTATTGTAATGGATTTTATATGTCTATATTTTTATTTTTATTTAATAAAATATCTAACAGACAACACTTTAATGCTTCCAAGACAATCCTTATTTTATATTGTATTCTTAATTAATTATATGTATTTTAGATAGAGGATCTCTTACAAACGATATAATATTTTAGCTAAGATATCGGTATGGTTAGCCCTGCTAAGTTCTATGCTTTAAGACGTTATAGTGGTAAATAAGGGAACCGGCTGTAGTTACTAGGTGCTGCAGCAACGAAAGAAAGTTAATATAAACAAATCTCCAGGGCCTGACAGTATTCATCCACGAGTACTTAAGGAACTAAGTTTAGAAATAACTGAACCTCTGTTTTTAATCTTTCAAGATTCTTTTCTTTCAGGAAGTGTTCCAGAGAATTGGAGGAAGGCAGATGTGGTTCCTATATTCATAAAGGGTTCAAAATCCTTGACTGGAAATTATAGACTTGTGAGCTTAACTTCTGTGGCTGGGAAAGTATTTGAAAGGTTATTAAGGGATAATATTCAAGAATTGAAAAAATTGGAATGTGGGTGTTAGTTAATGAAGACAAGGAAAAGACAGACATTTTAAATAACAATTTCTCCTCTGTATATATTAAGGAAGAACCTATGGCAATAGATATGCAAATGATTGCTGCAAAAAAATTGCAGAAAAAATTTAATTGGATAACTCAAGACAAGGTGCTGCAGCAACTAAAGAAAGTTAATATAAACAAAGCTCCAGGGCCTGACGGTATTCATCTACGAGTACTTAAAGAACTAAGTGTAGAACTAAGTGAACCTCTGTTTTTAATCTTTCAAGATTCTTTTGTCTCTGGAAGTGTTCCGGAGGATTGGAGGCATGGGTGTCCGCAGGAATTTTTCCAGGGAGGGCATGATTGTAATGACATATATGCTTGGCCCCTTTCTGACAGTGTCATGAAGGGGAGGTGCGTAGTCCTTATCACATAAAGGCAGGATGAACAGCGTTTTCACAACTATGGTCTCAGGAATACATGTTTGTATTCCTGACACTATAGTGTTCCTTCAAGCAAATTAAAGAACCATTCTGGTCACCATAACAACTTCATCTAAATGAAAATGCTATGATGCCACGAAGCCCCTGGGCGCGCTCTTTCCTTTAAGAGGTTAAACCACTTTCAAATGGTTTAACTCCAAAGGCTTCCTTCAGATCTCCAGGTCATTCAGTGGTATTCGGCTTCTGAAACAGAGTGTCAGGAAGTGCAGACTGACGTCAGGCATGGGTGTCGCTAATTGGCTAGAGGAGTCAGCTGACGGTCTAAGCCAATCGCTATATCCCGGTTCATAAAAATGTTTTACTTTTTTTATGAATGAGGAACTACCGTTCTTGCCAATCAGTGACACCCGTACCAAGTGGCACTCTATACTTCCCGACACTCGGTAAATAAAAGTGAACACATTAACACTGATATTTTTTTTTTACCTGGGGAGATGAGAAGGTCCAAAGTTTCCCTGCCAGGCCCAGGTCCCAAAGCCTTATGATGTGTTGTCCAGAATGAAGTGGAGGGATTACTTCACTTGTCCTTCCTGCTCCAGTCTCATTTTCTTCTCCTACATTTGACACAGTCTTCTTTTTCTTCTGACACTGTCTTCTCTCCTCCTTAGCTCCTTCTGCTCCTTTACCTTTCTTCTACTTTTGCGCCCTTCTGCTTCTTTCGCTTTCTGGTCCCATTCTGCTCCTCCTACTTTACCTTTGTGCTTCTTCTGCCCCTTACAGCTCCTTGCTGCCCCTTTATGCTCCTTGCTGCCCCTTCCTGCTCATTTTTGTTCCTGCTCGTTTCTGCTCCTTCTCCTACTTTACCTTTCTGCTCCTTTCTGCTCCTTCTCCTAATTTACCTTTGTGCTCCTTCTGATTCTTTCTGCTCCTTTACCTTTGTGCTCCAACTGTCCCTTCCTGCTCCTGCTGCCCCTTTCAGGCACTTTCTGCTCCTTGCTTGACCTTTCCTGATAATTTCTATTCCTTTCTGCTCCTTCTCCTACTTTACCTTTGCACTCCTTCTGCCCCTTCCAGGTCTTTGCTGGCCCTTTCTGCCTCTTGATGTCCTTTCCTTCTCCGTTCTGCTCCTTCTCCTACTTTACCTTTGTGCTCCTGATTCTTTGTGCTCCTTTACCTTTGTGCTCCTTCTGTCCCTTCCTGCCTCTTTCTGCTCCTTGCTGACTTTTTCTGCTCCTTGCAGACCCTTCCTGCTTCTTGCAGCCCCTTCCTGCTCCTTGCTGACCCTTCTTGCTCCTTGCTACCCCTTCCTGCTTTTTGCTGCCCCTTCCAGCTCCGGGCAGCCCCTTCCAGCTCCTTTCTGAAACTTTCTGCTCCTTGTAGACCCTACAAACAAACTACCGAAAAGAGTCAATAGACTTACCCTGGAGCTTGTTCCCTTCTAGATGAATGATCCCACCGAACAGTGTCCTTCTAAAGTGAATAGAACCGAACGCAGGTGATGATGGAAGTCCAGCGGTGTTCAGGAGTTTCTGTATCCGATTTCAGTTCAATGAGATTCATGCCCAAACACCGCTGCCTCATTCATGCAAACAAGATGGCCGCCACCTCGTGGTTGTCTATAGGAATTGCTGCCACCCAGATGAACAATTAGAACACTGCGGTGAGAAACTATCTAAGTTATTAATAGGTGTAAACAAGCTCGAGGGTGGTCTCTGGTTCTTGCGGTTGTTCGGTAAACAAACCCAGTTGCACGAACAGAGACTTTTACATTATTTTTCACAGGGTCCATAGTCTGTGGGCAGGAGGCTGGCAAGGAGGCTCCTCCAGGAGCTCATGGCAAACTCAGGTAAAAAGGGGAGTTTGTCACAGTGCTCTTTCTGATTCTTTCTTCTCCTTTATCTTTGTGCTCCTTCTGCCCCGTTCTGCACCTTCTCCTCCTTTATTGTTGTGCTCCTTCTGTCCCTTCCTGCTCCTTGCTGCCCTTTCCTGCTCTTTGCAGACCCTTTCTACTCCGTGCAGACCCTTTCTACTCCGTGCAGACCCTTCCTACTCCTTGCTGACACTTCCAACTCCTTGCAGACCCTTCCTACTCCTTGCTGACACTTCCAACTCCTTGCTGACCCTTCCTGCCCCTTTCTGCTTCTTGCTGACTCTTCCTGCTCCTTGCTGACCCTTCCTGCTCATTTCTGCTCCTTCTCCTACTTTACCTTCCTGTACCTTGCTGCCCCTTCCTTTAGTCTGCCCCCTCATTCCTCACTTACCTAAACTGTATGCTGTCTCTGCAGTCTGGGAGTTGCTGGCTGCACTCTGTGTTGCTCCTCTGTGGATTTAGTCAGGAGAGAGAAGGAGGGATAAGATGTAGCTTCCTATCCCTGCCTCTCTCCACACTCAGCGCCACATACTGGCCAGTGCCGGTATTGTAGTGTATTCTAAATCTGAAAAGAAAAATACCGGCACAGTCTGTAAAATCCGGTGGGGGGGACACCCATGATTGAAGGAAGGCAGATGTGGTTCTTATATTGAAAACGGGTTCAAAATCCTTGCCTGGAAATTATAGACCTGTGAGCTTAACTTTTGTGGCTAGGAAAGTATTTGAAAAGTTATTAAGGAATAATATTCAAGAATTCCTTGAGAAGAATGCGGTTATCAGCAAAAATCAGCATGGCTTTATGAAGCACAGGTCATGACAAATTAACTTGATTGCATTCTACGAAGAAGTAAGTAGAAGTATAGATCAGGGTGTTGCAGTGAATGTGATCTATTTGCATTTTGCCAAGGCGTTTGATACAGTTTCTCACAATAGATTAGTGCTCAAACTAACCAGTCTAGTTAAAGAAATCAGTCTAGATTAAAAATGTTGTTCTTGGGTAGAACATTGGCTTAACCCCTTAAGGACCAAACGTCTGGAATAAAAGGGAATTATGACATGGCACACATGTCATTTGTCCTTAATGGGTTAAGGCTGGACAGAGGTGGCAAGTGGTGTCCCTCAGGGTTCTGTTCATAGAACCCCTTCTATTTAACATGTTTATAAATGATCTTGAAAAAAAAATTGAAAGTCATGTTTCAGTGTTTGTAGATGACACAAAACTCTGTAAAGTTATACAATGTGAGCAAGATATTACTTTGCTGCAGAGGGATTTCGATAGGCTGGGGGACTGGGCACTCAAAAGGCAGATGAAATTTATTGTAAAAAAATGCAAAGTTATGCACTTCGGCGTAAAGAATGCACAAGCAACTTATACCCTTAATGGAAGTGAATTAGGGATAACAACACACGAGAAGGACATGGGAATTGTTATAGACAACAAACTATGCAACAATGTGCAATGTCAGTGAGCAGTGGCTAAGGCCAGTAAGGTATTGCCATGCATGAAAAGGGGCATTAATTCTCAGGAGGAGAATACCATTTTGCCTCTTTATAAATCACTGGTAAGTCCACATCTTGAATATGCTGTGCAATTTTGGGCACCTGCTCTAAAGAAGGATATTACGGCACTAGAAAAAGTGCATAGACAGGCTACAAAATTAATGAAAAGAATGGAACATTTTAGCTAAGAAGAGAGGTTAACAAATTTAAACCTCTTTAGTTTACAAAACATTATACAAATATATCCGGGGCTAATACAAACCATTATGTGGAAATCTATTCAGAAACTGGACTTTACATTGGACACGAGATCATGCGTTTAGACTGGAAGAAAGAAGATTTCATCTAAGGCAAAGGAAATAATTTTTTACCGTGAGAACAATAAGGATGTGGAATTCTCTGCCAGGAGAAGTGGTTTTATCAGAGTCCGTACAGATGTTTAACCCCTTAAGGACCAAACTTCTGGAATAAAAGGGAATCATGACATGTCACACATGTCATGTGTCCTTAAGGGGTTAAACAGCAACTAAATGCATACTTGCAAAAACAAAACATTCAACGATATAATCTTTAAACTGGAGGGTAATAGCTTCTTGATCCAAGGATTAATCTGACTGCCATTCTGGGATCAAGAGGGAATTTTTTTTCCTAGCTTGTTGCAAAATTGGAAGTGCTTCAAACTGGGGTTTTTTGCCTTCTTTTAGATCAACAGCAAAAAAACAAATGTGAGGAAGGCTGAACTTGATGGACACGTGTCTCTTTTCAGCCTATGTAACTATTTTCATATGACAATGACTTATGATTTTCACAACTGGAAAACTCAGTTACCCCACATCTTGTCATTCATTTAGCTGGGAAGAGGTATTTGTCAATTACAGTTTTTGACAGGACAGTTACATGCTGTTTTTTGTAACCATAAGCTCCAGGCCTTGGTTCAAGAATGACATGCTGTCCCCCTCCCCAAAACCACACGCACAACCATTATGTTATGCAGTGCTTGTAGTAAATGCAGTTTGTCTATTGAATGCATTATGTGTGTGTGTGTAGTGGATGCAGTGTCTGTGTTTGTGTAGTTGATAAAGTGTGTGTAGAGTTTGTGTAGCGGATGCAGTGTGTGTGTTTGTGGTGTTGAATAAGGGCTGTGAAGGTTGAGCGTTTTTTAAAAAACTTTTAATTATGTGTGTTCCCCCTCCCTGCCTCTTACCTGTGGCACTGCAGGTTGTATTGTGAAGATAGGGCAGTGGAGTCTCATCCTACATCTCAAGCAGCATCAGGTCGTCTCGTGAACAATGCGATTGTTGCTGTGGATTGCCATGGCAATGCTCTGTGTAGCATACAATACGTGCCGGATTCTTGCCATGGCAACACGCGGCAATGCTTTCGTGGCCGCGAGAGGAGAGGACCTGATGCTGCTCGAAGTGTAAGATGAGACTCCGGGGACCCATTTTCACAATAATTTAATCATTCACCCACAAAGCGCAACTCAGTTACAGGGGCCCACTAGTGCAGCTCAGGTTTATTCAAAGAGCATTCTAAGTACAGACATTTTGGGACCCCTGTCCCTTTATTAATAATGAATGCCCTCCTGGAGGGCATTTATCAGGGGTCCTGAAACATATGTACTTTGAATGCACTTTGAATAAACTTGAGCTGCACTAGTGGGCGCCTATAACTAAGTTGTGCTTTGTGGATGAATAATTTGGATTGCTATATTTTGCTTGCTGTTGGGGCTACAGCAGCTTACACACAATAGCTGCACTAGGGTAAACTATTTTACCTTTTGGTATTGTGCTATACCACACTCCTAGATAATATCTTCACAATATTATAATTTAGTGTGGGTGGTGTTAAGGGGAATTTTTGTACATATATTTCTGGTCTAGTGCAGACAAATAATGATTTTTAAAACTTTCACCACCAGAACCAAGTCAAGCGCACACTTGTAGTTGCGTGTGTTTGAGACAGACAGCATCATGTGATCTCTCTCACATAGCAGCTCCACTACACCTAAACTAAGCTGGCAGATCACAAAAGCACCCCATTGTCAAGTAAATTAAAAAACCAAAAACAAAACCCATGAAACACATCCACTGTTAGCTAATGAAGGATTGCTATGATATATTGTGTTACGCCACTAGATGGCACTCTTATGCTGGCTAATGGATACTGGACTATTTATATATATATATATATATATATATATATATATATATATATATATATATATATATATATATATATATGGTAAATGGTGGAAAAGGACGTAATTATTAGCTTTTTACACAGTCAGGATATACCAAAAAAACAAATTAGAAAAACTCTCTTAGTTCTGAGTTTGACTATTTTAGGCATTTCATTTGAAATTGAAGGGACAGTTTAGGCACCATAACAACTTAATTTAAAGGAAGTTGTTACGGTGCCTTATAGTGCCAGGAGGCCCTTGGGCACACTCTTACCTCAAGGGGTTAAACTTTTCTCAAGCAGTTTAACCCCAAAGAGGCCTCTAGTGCCAGTCTCAGCTCACTCCCAGGCAGCAACCAGCTTCTGAAATTTCCGTTTCAGGAAGCACAGAGTACCGCCAGGCAGAGGCACAGATGATTGGCTGAGAACTCTTAGCCAATCACTCTCTCTATACACAAAACTGTCATGGAAAAGGTACGTTCCATTCCACAGGTTTTTGTAGAACCAAGTGGCGTCAGACTGGCATGATATAATAATACTGTCATTAAAATTTTTTATTATGAAATCATTACAAACGAGAACATACAGCATATTAATGTTTTTTGCTCATTTAAAAAGTAAGATGATTAAAGAGAGGTTTCATAGATGCTAATTCAAACAGAGCACTACCTGCTAAATAGATAGCCACTAAAGGGACTTCCAGAATCAAAACGGACCTTTATTCTGCTATCTGACGCTGGACATCCTCACGCTCTGTATGAGGACCTCCAGCGTCCGATTTTTCCCCATAGGAAAGCCATGATTAATGCTTTCAAATTGAAAAATCTTAATGCGAGTGTGGCTATTGCCACGCATGCGCATTAGGTCTCCCCTGCCGGCTGACGTCGGCAGGGGAGGAGCGTGGGCTGGGCCTGACCCAGTGCCAAGTGACATCGGTGCTGGATTCAGGTAAGTGACTGAAGGGGATTTACCCCCTTCAGCACCACAGGAGGGTGGGCACGAGGGAGGGGGGTATTCCAGGAGCCTATAGTGCCAGGAGAACGGGGCTGTTAGTTTTCCTGACACTATAGAATCCCTTTAATGAGGGCTTTACTTGCTAATTATTGATTATGCAGCATTTAGCTTGATTACCATGGGTCTGGGAGGTGTGGGTGTTGGAGATTTCATCTGAGCATGCTGAGTCATTTTAGCGATCACAAGGTCTGCCACGAGCTGCCGATCCTCTTCCACATGTTCTCCAATCAGTGGCATGGAACTGTCCATCACCTGTAATGGGAATGATGAGTTTCGGTAAGTGACCTATCGACCAGAAAAGATACTCAAAAGATCTATTTATAAACTAATAAATATTAATAAAACAGCGTTGATCTAATAAAATTGATTCAATATTCAGATACATTAACAATGATCAGCCACAACATTAAAACCACTGACAGGAGAAGTGAATACCATTGATTGTATTGTTACAATGGTACCAGTCAAGGGGTTGGATATATTAGGCAGCAAGTGAACAGTCAGTTCTTGAATTTCATGTGTTGGAAGCATGAAAAATGGTCAAACAAAAAGATCTGAGTGACTTTGATAAGGGTCAAATAGTGTTGACTGAGTCAGAGATATATATACAAAGCGCCAAGTCTTGAGGGGTGTTCCTAGTATGCAGTAGATATTACCTACCAAAAGTGGTGCAAGGAACTGCAACAGGTGAACCGGCTCAAGGTCAGGGTCAAGAGCACCCAAGGCTCAATGATGAACATGGGAGCGTTAGATCACATAAAAGAGCTACTGTAGCTCAACTTGCTGCGAAACTTAATGCTGGCCATGACAGAAAGGGGACAGAACATACAGTGCATCGCAGTTTACTGCGTATTGGGCTGTGTAGAGTGCCCATGATGACCTTAGTTCGCCGCTTGAATCGTCTTCAATATGAGCATCATTACTGGACAATGGAACAATTAAAGAAGGTTGCATTGTCAGATGAATCACATTTAGATCAGGTGGATGGCTGGGTCTGTGTGTGTCATTTACCTGGGTAAGAGATGGCAGCAGGATGCACTATATGAAGAAGACAGACTTGGTGAGGCAGTGTTATGCTTTGGGCAATGCTCTACTTGAAAACATTGGGTCCTACATTCATGTAGACGTTACTTTGACATGTACCATCTCCCTAGAGATTGTTTCAGGCCATGTACACTCCTTCACGGCAATAGTATTTCCTGATGGCAATGGCCTCTACCAGCAGGATAATGCACCCTGTCACACTGAAAATATTGTCCAGGAATGGTTTGAGGAACATGACAAAGAGTTCAAGGTATTGTCTTGGCCTCCAAATTACCCAGATCTCAATTAGATTGAGCATCTGTGGGACGTGCTGGAACAACAAATACAATTCATGGAGGCCCCACCTCGCAACTTGCAGGACTTAAATGATCTGCTGCTAATGTCTTGGTACTAGATACCACAGGACATGTTCAGTGATCTTGTGGAGTCCATGCTTTGACTCATCAGAGCTGTTTTGGCAGCATGATATTAGGCATGTGGGTTTAATGTTGTGGCTGAATATGTACAGTACAGATGCATCTGAAATGTCTGTTTTGCATGTGTTTTTTTTGTTTGTTTTTTTAAAGAGTGAAAGTTTGAGCTTGTTGGAAAAAAATACCTGACCGCTAAGCATATGACAATCTTAAATTATCTTGACTTCCAGCAAATGTCAACTGATCTCAATTATCAAATCTTGTCCATCACTATATTCCCCTGTCCCTCTCTGGCCATCTCCTTATCACTACCCTCACACTCAAAATAAACACCTCAGGATGAACACGCCTTCAACTATTGCACACTAAGTCAACCCGCTACCTCCAAAGATGCTCTTCAGTTGAATTCTGCTGGAGGAAGCCTTGCACTTTCTCCATTATGAATTCATGCTATGTGCAGCAGAGACCTCTCCCTTACTAAACACTCACACTTTTATTCTCCTATTACTACTCTCTTTGACACTTTCAACTATTTACTTCACCCCTCATACTACTTAATAATAAGCTAGCTTATAAAACAAACCAGCTTGTTTGTGATTGTTAGAGACTCTCTGTTAGTGGCACTGTGTGTTTTATTGTGTTGTCTGTTTTGTACTGTTTGGCTACTCATTAAACTCAAATTATGCATTTCCGACAAGGGAACAACAATTGTTTAGAAAGAATTAGACAGATTAGAAATATGCACAAAGTCAGCTATTTTTCTAGATTGGATATATTGGTCTAAGGTTACAAAAACTGTATTTTTATTGTATTTTAGTGTATTTTATTGGATAGTTGTAAGAGGGTATATAAAGTGAGAGCTTTGTTCTTTTGCAAAGGTATCTCACTTTTCCAGCTATTTCTCATTTGCCTCTCATGTGCATGATTTGTCCATCAGTAACCATACAATTCAACATGTCAAACCTCAATTATGAAGTCCTTTCCATCTTTGCTGTGAACGGCTTTCACGGCACAAATATCCAGCCCTCCAAACATCTCGGCACAGGAGTCTGCCCATAGGCGATATCTGCCAAAGAAAGCATATTATAACTGGAGATAATAGGCCATAAACTGGCACCATTTCAGGTTGGAAAATGTAGTTTAAAAATCATGATTGCATAATATGAACTTCCAAAGCCTGTGGTTTAAATAACTATAGAAATAAAATCCTCAGTGAAACGAGACAAAAATTATATAACTCTATGAAATTACTTTAAAAAAAATAAAAATAAATCTTGGAACAGATAGTTCATAAAATAGAGCAAGACCTCTATTCAGACATACTGCTGGGGTAAGACAGTTTACAGCCATCAGTCCATCACTATGCCCAACAACTCTATGGAATGGAGTACATGGAATGGTATGTACCTCTTAGAGCAAGTTTATAAGCAGTGACAGTGTGGAACCATAAATATGCACTGCAACCACGTCTGCTACGCTGCTCTGCCACTATCTCAGATCGACCCTTTACGTGTATATGGATGTTACTATAACAAGTATTAAAGACCATAGAAAAGTGTGGACAAAAATGTTGTACATCTTTTCGTGTAGGGTTGGAGCAGCGTTTGTATGTTTACATTTTCTGTGAGATGCTGGTGGCATGGCGTAATGTCATCAAGATGATGACCTCTTGGATGATCCCTGATTATATTTTTGTATGACAACTACAATTTTGTCACATCTATTAATAAAACAACACATAAACTATTTGAATAGTAAGTAAACATTTTCTAGAGCTCACCGGTCAGTCATGGCAATCTGTTCCAACATGGCAGAACCAGTGTTTGCTTTCCAATTCCCAGAAATAGATGTTCTCCTGCAAAAAGAGAGAATAAACTTTGTGACCAATACTATATATAAATTGCTATGTTTTCAAATGTAGTTGATTAAATGTTAATGGTTTCATGGTTGTTTATCATAATATATAGAGAAGGCATACTGTGTTTTTTTGTTGGAGTTTCAGTTTTATTAATTATTAGCACACAGTTTTCAAAGATGAACACCATATCCAAAGGAATTTTCATTGACATACCAGTATCGTTTGCCTCTTTCACAGTTAAAGGGAAACTCCAGTGCCAGGAAAACAATCCGTTTTCCTGGCACTGCAGGTCCCCTCTCCCTTCCACCTCCCAATCCCCGGTTGCTGAAGGGGTGATAACCCCTTCAGTCACTTACCAGAGGCAGCGACATGTCCCACGTCGCTGCTTCTTCCACCGCCACTGCTCCTCCTCTGCATTACGTCAGCCGGTGGGCGAGACTGATCCCGCCCACCGGCTGGGGAGACCTAATGCGCATGGGCGGCAATGCTGAGCATGCGCATTAGAACTCCCCATAGGAAAGCATTGAAAATGCTTTTCAATGCTTTCCTATGGGGAATTGAGCGATGCTGGAGGTCCTCACACAGCGTGAGGACGTCCAGCAACGCTCTAGCACAGGTTTTCTGTGCTATAATCCAGGAAGTGTCCTCTAGTGGCTGTCTAGCAGAGGTGGAGTTAACCCTGCAAGGTAATTATTGCAGTTTATAAAAAAAAAAAATGCAATAATTACACTTGCAGGGTTAAGAGTAGTGGGAGTTGGCACCCAGACCACTCCAATGGGCAGAAATGGTCTGGGTGCCTACAGTGTCTCTTTAATGAACATAAGCAGAGAACCTGTGAAAGTTTTTTAGGTTGTCATACATATATATTCTCAAAAATGGCCAGAGGCAAGGAGCCATCGACATGCATACAGATTTGAGCATAGTTTTTGAGTAATAAAAAATATTAATTTAGACCCAGACGATCATTTCAACCTTGTTAGGCATCGTCAATGAGGTATAGACGATATCCCTTTAGGTGCCAGGTCTAGATTACCCTTTAAACTTAGGAAGAGCAAAAAACAAGACGCAAGAGAGTACTGAGAACGGACAACAGCTCAAATAGCCTGGCCTTCGGTGAGTCTCTGCGCAGATGTTTAAATGGTTTTAGCTCATTTTGGGCCATTACAGAGAGAACCAGGTTGTTTGCATATCAGACTGATTCCACCCAAAAGGGCATTTGAGCAATGAGACTACAGGGCAGAGAATTTAGCAGTGAGACTACAGGGGCATGATCCATATACTAAAACTGCTTCATTAAGCTGGAGTTATTTTAGTGCCTAAAGTGTCCCTTTAAAGGTACACTATAAGCACCCAGGCCACTTTATTTCATTGAAGTAGTGCAATGTCCCGGTTACTTTAACCCTACAATGTAAAACGTAGTTGTAAAGAAACAGGAATGTTCACATTGCAGGGTTAAGGCTGCTTCTTGTGGCTGTCTACCACACAGCCACTAGAGGTGCTTCCTGCAGTTTCATGAAGTTTGAACCTATGGGGGTTTTTCTGACACTGGATGTCCTCATGCAAATCGAGAGGACATCCAGTGTCAGGCAAAACCCCATAGAAAAGAGTCAATACTTTCATATGGGGAAGGCTTAATGTGCGTGCGCATGTGAAATAGGTTCCCATCATTGGCTGCAGCCAGGGACGTATTAGCCTTGGGCGGCATATTCCAGGGGCCGGCAAAAAAATCTGCCCCCAAATGCCCAGGGCAAATATCTTGTTAGCCTGGTGGCTAACAGTCCAGGCAGGTGGTTGTCCGGCTAAAAATTCGGCGGGCTGCTGGGCGGGCGGCGCTGGCGAGGGAGCACTTTCCCTGAGCCCTCTGCTCAGCTCCCTCGCGCGCTACAGAGTGATGCCGTGAGCCGAATCCTGGAGCCAGAATATGACGTCATATTCCGGCTCACGGCATCACTCTGCGGCGTGCGAGGGAGCTGAGCAGAGGGCTCAGGGAAAGTGCTCCCTCGCCAGCACCGCCCGCCCAGCAGCCCCACTAAACCCCAGGGAGAGGGAGCACCCCCCAGCATTCCCAAAGGTAAGGAGGGGGGGGGGTTAAATAAAAAAAACAAAGTGAGTGTGTTAATGTGAGTGAGTGTGTGTGTCTGTTAGTGTGTGTGTGTGTGTTAGTGAGTGAGTGTGTGTCTGTTAGTGTGTGTGTATCTGTTAGTGTGTGTGTTCGGGAGTGTGTGTGTGTGTCTGTTAGTGTGTGTCTGTTAGTGAGTGAATGTGTGTCTGTTAGTGTGTGTGTGTGTGTGTCTGTTAGAGAGTGTGTGTTTGTTAGTGTGTGTGTGTGTCTGTTAGTGAGTAAGTGTGTGTGTCTGTTAGTGTGTGTGTGTTAGTGTGAGTGTGTGTCTGTTGGCTAGTGTATGCGTATATCTGTTAGTGAATGTGTGTGTGTGTGTGTGGCGGGGTGGGGCGCAGGGGGAATGGGGGGGGGGCGCCTGAGTTTTGCCCTGCCTAGGGCAGCACAAAACCAGGATACAGCACCTGTGACATCAGAAAGTCAGGTAATTGAAAGATGGTGGGGGAGGTGCAGTGGCAGAGGGACACTATGGTGTTGGGAAGTAGAAACCACAAACAGATATTGACATTCTCTTTGATTTTCACCAAAATGATGTACCTTTTAATATAAAGGTTACTCAGCATTGCATGAATCCATAGAGTCACATAACTAGTGGCTCCAAATATTCTGAAAAACGGGTTTTAGGTTTGCCCCAAAGACTGTGGAATTTATTATGTGAATAGTAAACTATAGTGCTTTTACAATTTCTCACAAGTAGTGATGGCTGAATTGGAGGCATTTTCTAATTCATAATTTTTCACCTAATTTTGGCATGTGGATGTGAATTCACCTCAGTGCACAGTTTAGTGAATGCACCCCTATATCAAGAGATTGGGCTGGGACTGAGGCTCTTAACTGGAGGTACAGAAGTACACTAGTGAAATAAGTACAATCTAATCGAAGAGTACTGAAGAATCAAAAGGTACATTTCTTGTTGAGTGATTGCAGACGTGGGATGGATCGCTATAAAGCATGACCTAGACACATTTAGGATCACACAATCCTAATTGCATCTGCCCCATGTCTTAATAGTGCATTAAATGTGTGTTTTAGTCATTAGCCACGCCGGGTCCTTGGCGTGATGATGATTAATGTGTAGGAAAGGATGACCCCATTTTCTAATCTTGCTTGGGGCACACAATTAAGCTATAACAGGCCTAGGCAGGGAGTGTGTAATTTTGTGCAGACCCTCAGTCACTCAGTGTAGTACAGGAAGTTTCCTACAAACACCCTCAGGGTCACATTATGCTGCTTTTGGCTCCTCTAAGAACACAAAAACAATGCATTGCTGTCTACTACAGTAAAGCCAGGGACAGGATCTAAGGGTCCAGAAAAATGCCTACAGTGAAATATAAGAGACGCTTATATTAGGTATAATAAAACAATGCTATGCAGAGAATGTTAGTTGCAAGCAGGGATTTCCTCAAGCTCCCAATTATTTGTGTGACCCTTTAACGGCCAGGGGAATATCCATGCACAGAAAGGTAAAATTACTCTTTCACTTAAACCCACTTTACAGAATCAAAAGCTGTTTATTAAGAAAGGGATTCATATATAGCTCCTTGGAACGAGCGCAGTTTAGTAGAAGGGGGGCCTAACAGGGCTAGGAGGAGGTCATAGGTGGAGCAGGACCAGGATTGGAAGATTGGGATTAAGTGGTGGGTGCATATATATAGGGGCAGTCATTTTAGGATAGCCAATTTTAATGTACTCACCAACGTGGATTTGTCCCTCCCTCCCTCCCACCCTTAGAGATTGGGTGGTCTGCTTGCCCTGCTTGGTCACAAGCAAGGGGTAGGAAAAAGGAGTGGTGAAATAGAATTGGAGTTATCAGTTAGTTATGGTGTTGGAAGGTTTCAAGTCCGTAGGTGGCTCAGAGCCTCGGAGGTGTGGGGGTATCCGGGTATACCCTCACCACTGGGATGTTAAGTAAATGTTGGCACTTTATTGATTATGTGTTATATATTGTTCTATATTATTATATAACACAAAATGGAGAAATAAAGTAAACAGAGTGCAGCTCAGGAGCCTGCATGCAAGTGAGGGGCTTGTGAGCTGCACCACTGTAACTACCTAATAGGGAGCTCCAATAAGGGGGTAACCCTCCAAAATATGCAGGAAATAGGAGAAAGTGAAGTATAGAGTCCTTCAAGGGGAAACTAACATCAGGAGAGCTCCACTGTATAAGAAATGAGGGTGGCCCTACCTTTAATCAATCTAAGGATAAAAAAGGATATGCAAACAAAAAGGAATAACTTGAAAAACTTGAAAAAGGGAGATCTACTAGAAGGTGGCCCAGGGGATCCATTAGTGTCCGACTGACAGGAAGGTAGTGTAAACGAGGTTAGGGAGAGAGAAAAGGCACAGGGTCCACAGAGAACAAGGGACCAGATAATCTGGTCTAAACGCAAATGAAAAGCCTAAAAAAAAAAAAGAAAAATCTCTTAATTCACAATAAGAGTTACCTCGACACTAGTAGTCTAACCACTAGTGTCTACCTGAACCAACTCTCCCTATTAAAGTTCCCGACAGTCGGACAACAGGGGAACTTGGACTCAGATGCTATTTAGTACTCCAGATAATGGATTCCTTGGGCACCGTTTAGTAGATCTCCCTTTTTTCAAGTTATACTTTTTGTTTGCATATCGCTGTTTATCCTTAGATTGATTAAAGCTAGGATCCCCCTTCCAAATTTCTTATACCAGTTGAGCTCTCCTGATATTAGTTTGCCCTTGTGGGATGCTATACATCACTTTCTCCTATTTCCTATATATTATTATACGTTATTTATGGTTAGTCATTGCCCTATTTATTTTTGGGTCTGCTAAAATATAAGATGGCAAAAGGTGGGGGGCAATGACTTTTAATATTATATTATTTTCAATAAAGCTGTGGACACATTTGCCCATACATAGTAGTGTTGTGTTTTTATTAAAGGAGTTGGGTGTGGGTTTGACAGGTACAAATTCACCTGCCCATATGGCGTCACTGCACCTGTCATGCAAAATATGATGAACATTCTGGAGAATTCACTATGCATCAGGAATCTCCAAACTCAAACTGACTGTGAGTAAAGCAAATTGTAAAAGAATTACACTCATCAGGGTTCATGTTTGTGCAGAATTTTCTTGATGATAAGTGCCTATTGTAGTAACTGTATCAAATGAGTTGTAGAGACAATTACAGACCTTCAAGACTTTTCCAGACTATTTTAGACTTGACCACATTTATCGAGCACACCCCAATCTAGACTTATCACAGAGACATTGTTTTAAAGTTTTATAACTATATGGCACATGAGGATATTGGAAAGAAGAAATGATTGCAACTCTCCAGATTGAAGGCAATACTCTGAGTCTATATGATGGCCTATTGGACTGCAGTCAACAATGATGGAAGGTGTATAAAGTGCTTTTTTGATATCTAAGGACGTAGAGTTCAAGCCTGTACAAGAGGCAAACAGAGGCTGTGGCCTTCCATTCTTTCCCATGTATGGTCTTCACAAGCCAGCTCACCACACCAGGAAAACTCTCCACACTTATTATGCTGCACAGAAAATCACTAACATGTCCATTATCAGACATGATGTTACGTATAACATGTAAACTGTATATTTAATTTTTATTTTTTTTAAATATCTTCATCTAATTAATATAAGCATTGACCAAAAATAGATTACTCATATGGGAATGTGCAAGAAACCAAACTTAGGGAGGCGGGGCTTGACTGCCATGCTGAGCAGTTGCACCCTGATTGAGCTCTGAGAGAAATCTTGTAATTTTGTGAATTTAATGGACTTTTGGTTCAATATTTTCTACTTTGAAGTCCTTAAAGCTTTCCCAAAGCCTGTGGGATCAGCATAGACTTCTTGTACGATAGAAGAGAAATCTCGGACAAAGGGTTCTGCGGCCTATCAACGGCTTTCTTGGAGGTGGTGAAGCAGTTATAATCAAAGGGGAACAGCAAGTTCTTCCTAAATAATCTAACAGATCAGGAGAAGTATTGTTTTTTCGCCAGTTAAATAAGATTTAATACATATTTCAAATAACATATAGGAAACAAAGTGTGTGCATCTAGAAATTAATTAATATAATTTTGTCTGAAGCATCCAGTGTTCTCTAAATGTTTATCTAACCGTCAGAGCCAGAGTTAGAAAGAGTTATTGTCTGGGGAGCCTTCAAATAATTTCCAAGTTACAGTCTGTATACCTTTGGGGAAGAGGATACACTATTTAGAGATGTGTGGGTCACTCAGCCACATAACCAGGGGAAAAGAAACAGTTTTACAATTTAATCTTTGATCCATGAAGGGTGAGTCATATGGGAATGAGTCAACTGAGACATGGGGATTCCCTTTTCTTTCCTATTATACTGACATAAACAATGTTTAAACATTCCACTTATACAGTTAATATCATATTTAATGTTAAAATAGCTGAACTGGAAAAATCTCCAAGTCAGCTATGTTTCCAGTTCAGCTATTTTGGTCTAAATTTGAAATTCACTTTGGGTACTATTTACATTCCATGTAATAATCCCTTTAGTAAGATCTCTGATACTCTGCACACTCACTGTATATTCAGTTAGAGGACTTACCTGTAGAAATACAAGGTGCTTTGTATGCGCATACATATATGCAGCTGTACTCAAAAGTTTGCATACCGTGGCAGAAATTGCAAAATTTTGCCATAGATGGCAAGATGAATCCAGCATGTTATCAGAAAATACTGGCAGACAATTTGCATTCTTCTGCACAGAGGCTGCGCATGGGACGCTCTTGGACTTTCCAGCATGACAATGACCCTAAGCACAAGGCCAAGTTGACCCTCCAGTGGTTACAGCAGAAAATTGAGATCTCAAAGGTGCGGTTCAGGCAAGACGACCGAAGAATTTGCATGACCTGGAGGCATTTTGCCAAGATGAATGGACAGCTATACCACCTGCAAGAATTAGGGCCTCATAGACAACTATTACAAAAGATGGCACACTGTTATTGATGCTAAAGGGGGCAATACACAGCATTAAGAACTAAGGGTATGCAGATTTTTGAGCACAACTGTACATAATCACACACTATATTTTCGGTCCCTCTTAATATGTGGGAATGTAGTATGTATTTTTAGTTCAAAGTAGCTATCTCTACTTTCTCCATCATTCCTTTTTTCTAATCTGCAATGTTATTCACTCTCCTTGTCCTTCCCTTTCCCCACTGCATATTATTCATGCCCCTTGTCCTTCCCTCTCCCCACTGCACATTATTCATGCCCCTTGTCCTTCCCTCTCCCCACTGCATATTATTCATGCCCCTTGTCCTTCCCTCTCCCCACTGCATATTATTTATGCCCCTTGTCCTTCCCTTTCCCCACTACATATTATTCATGCCCCTTGTCCTTCCCTCTCCCCACTGCATATTATTCATGCCCCTTGTCCTTCCCTCTCCCCACTGCATATTATTCATGCCCCTTGTCCTTCCCTTTCCCCAATACATATTATTCATGCCCCTTGTCCTTCCCTCTCCCCACTGCATATTATTCATGCCCCTTGTCCTTCCCTCTCCCCACTGCATATTATTCATGCCCCTTGTCGTTCCTTCTCTCCACTGCATGTTATTTACGTTTCCCCTTGTTCTTCCTTCACATGTACTTAATATGCAATCCCCTTTCTTGTCCCTCTCCACTTGGTCTTTTTTGTGTCAACCACCCTTCTATCATCATTCTTTACTTTCTGCTTCTATGAAAATCCCTACACTCTCTGCATGTGTATAAAACATCATACTATGTGAAAAATTATTATGAGTGCATTAGATTAAAATTAAATTAGTTGTGGGGCGGAGCCTAGCAACGGACCGGAGCGGACGCACATTGCCGGGGCTCCGAGGTACCGCACGGCAATCCGGCAACATCGGAGGCATCTCGCATTAATCCCGGCCACACATTCAGCCACAGACCGCAGGGAACCCCACTGCGACCGCCGATGCCGTTTCTCCTGACGCCCGGCTCGATAAATAGAGGAGGCAGCCTCAACCCAGCACGGGAGAACACTGGCCCTGGAGTGTCCCAGACTTTGAGGACTGGTACCCCAGCACACACAGCTCAGGTGAGATGGGGCGCAGAACGCAGAAACTGCCATAAAACGCCCCGAAACCGCAGCACAACATAGGCCAAATGTTACAGGCCCCAATCGCAGTAAAGGCACAGACCCCCCGTGAAACATCCCCGGTACCATCAGAAGAGGGAGAACCGCTAGACAGCCCACACCTTAATCCCGAACACCCCACACACACGTGGATGCCAGAAGCCAACGCACCGGCCTCAAAACAAGATATACAGGCTATGCTGACAGGCCTGCAACAGAACTTAAGACAAATGTGGGAAGCGGACCTGGCAGTGCTTAAACTAGATGTGCACGCCGTGTCCACGCGCACTCAGGCTGTAGAAGAGGAGGTAAAGGGACTAAGAGAGAATTACCAGGAACTGGGGGAGAAGGTGCGACACCTCCAAGCTGCACAAGCGACAATGTCCAGGCAAGTTACCCTCCTAGATGACAGAGGGTGCCGAAAAAATATAAAAATCCGAGGGGTACCTGAATCAATACCGCTGGAAGAGTTGCCACACTTCACTAGACGCCTTGTGACGGGTTTTACAGGATAGCCAAATCCCCACAAGCACCCAACTCAGCCCCACGGGACATAATATTGAGATGCCAATCAATGTTGGACAAACTGGGGCTAATGGCAGCTATCCAAGGGAAGACACCTCTTGACTTTGAAGACAGCAATCTCTCTTTCTTTCAGGACTTGAGCAGGGCCACACTGATATGGCGCAAAAGTATGCAACCAATCACCAAACAACTCCAAGCCACAGGAGTCGCCTATAGATGGGCAACACCAGGAACTCTCTGGATCACTAAAGATGACAAGCACTACAGGGCCACCGACCACACAGAGGGCCCAGCACTGACCGCATTGGGAATATCGAACCTCGCAGCGACCTCAGCGACACAGCCAGATCATCGACCAGGGACAACGAGCACAGATTCATCCGCAACCCCTGGAACAAGCAGAGGCCCGAAAACCAAAACCTGAACAAACTGCCTCACCGACGGTCTCATAGGCCTTAGTTTAATTCGTTTAAATATTTTAAGTTAATAAGACTGATCATTTAAGTTATATGTAGTTCTCCCACACTCTGACGGCCATTACAGTGCTAAAAAGGCCCACCAGAGCCAAGCACACTAGCTCCGATAACAATCCCCCCCTCCCTGGGGTTAATGGGAAACAACATCAAGGGCAACATAGTAACCCTGACTGGAATCAAGCTCACCGCAAGGTCTGATACCCCTAGCCTAAAGCCCCAAGGGCACAACTTGATCCTGTCACACTACAGCGACTTATATATATACCTAGACACAAACTTCTGGTTACTACACTGACCAGGAACAACCTGCAGCTACCACTAGGGCCAAAAAGACACCTTTGGACACCTAGAGCACCGCACACATGGGTACCCACCAATAGCTACAATCAGGGACAAAAAGAGGAGCGGACATAGTCCTAGAAAGGGCACACATAGAGAGACCCCGCAACTACCGCAACTCGCTTCCTGTCCAAACTCGGAAGGGCCAAGAGACACACCCAACACCCATAACTTATAGTCGCACGATCTGGAATTGGGAACAGCCACTGGACCTAGCTGTAACTGCCTTCCCCCCTCCACCCACGACTCCACAGAACTTAGGGTGTCTTAGGCAGACAGAAGTCTTCCACCCCCACAGTTATTAGATTTCAAAACCTCACTATAACAATGTGACTTATTGTAAATATAAAATGTGTGTGACTAGCACACAACAATGCCTTGTATTTAATATGCACTGATTCTAATCGTTGTGTCGAGGCTGTTGTGGCCAAATTCATGAATCTGTTACCTTTCCACATGAAAAATAAAGAATTTAAAAAAAAAATAGTTTAAACAGTTCTTTCTAATTTACCAATAAACAAACTTTCTTCACTAAAAGAAACAAAACATTTCTTCACTACAGATGTTTAGCTAAACATATACTATTTATGAACATATAGCATTTCAAAAGGATGCCTTGTATCTCATAGCCCACTATATTCACACACTTACATGTACGCTTTATAGTTGTTTCCAATCTTCTGAATCCGGATATCGTACTTAGAATCTATAAAGGGCTCGGTAGTTACATAGGTTTTCGCCATGGCAACAACACTTGCAATATCTTGAAAATCATATTGATTATCAACTTTCACCTGAAGACAATAACAAGGAAGAAGAGTTAGAACACAATTGTCTAAAATGTCACATGAAATTAAACAAATACACTCACCTATAAATATTTCACCTAGCTACCTAGCTGGGGCTACTATTAAGTTAACAGAAGCATGAACTGAAGGGAGTATATATATTGGGTTAATAGGATAAGCGGCAATCACATTTATATTCTCCGAACAGCTTCCATTCATATCTGTTTTTATCATCCTTTAAAATGTGCTGCAATTTAGTTTAAAAGAACACGACAAGGACAATAACCACTACAGAAAGCTGTAATGATTATAATAGCAATAGTGCCCTGGCAGCCACTTACTGTAAGTAGTCAAACTAGCTCAGAACATTTTGAATTCTTACCTGAGGTCTGCTTTGCACCATCCTCTTTCACAACCTCAGCCAGAGAGCCGGAATCTCTCTGAGGTAAGCCCGATTTTCATATTCTGAAAATGGTCAGCTGATGCGCTTAGACATGAGCTACACCAGCACTGCGCTGTTTATCTGCTCCCATTGGGAATGCAAATAAGCAGCATTTCAACCAAGACCAGCAGACATCAGGATTCCCCCCCTCGAGGAGGAGGAGATAAACTTTAGTTTATTTATACATTTATTTTTTCAATTATGTTTTTTATTGTAATACTTTCCCTACAGTTCATACGCTCCTCATTACAGTCCCTAACCCCCCAATTGCAGCCTTTCTCCCCCACTACAGCCCCCTAACCACCACTTCACCTTCTATACCCCCACTACAGCCCCTATCTCCCACCTCAGCTGCTTCAGAGGTTAGGTTCTAGATCTACCCCTGTTTCAAGGTGCTGTCCATCATCCTAACTATTCCCTGGTATTCCGCTTTTGGGCACTGAGATCAAACAGAGAATATTGAAACAGCTCTCTCTACATGGTCCTTTGGACATCATCCTTCATGGTCCTTTTAAGCAGGATTAATTTCCTTTGGCCCGGCACAAGTGATATGATTTGCATCACTGACCGGCTCCTTCCACCCTGCCAAACAGTGTTCAGTATTACTGGATGTCAATGTTGGGGGTGCATGAATCTGAGTGATTATTAGTTACAATTCAGAGCTTATTGAATTACTCCATATTAAATGTAATTATATTGAAGAACATTTTTAAAAGATACATACATATATATATATATATATATTTTTTTTTTTTTTTTTATTAAATTGAAAAAAGAAAAAACTATATATGTTACATATATGAGAGAGAAATGGGTTGGTGCATGTAGAATTATGTGCCTGGAATTTAAGAAATGAAAACCTGTCTCACTCCCCCAGTTCCATAGAAAAAAAATTTGAAAACATTCATATACAAATTCCCATGCAAAATAGCAATTACTTTGTAGTTATATTCCCAGCAGAAAATGTCAAAACGAAAACAGATGATGTGCAAAGTATCAAATAATGCTGTTGATAAATATAAGGTTTATGTTTCTTCTGTTTTTCCTTCTTTTAATGTTTTATATATGTTCTCGTGTTGTTTACTGGAAGAATTTCGTCCCTTATCACATGGGACAAATTCCACAGATATTTTGTTTCCAGTTATTGATTGAATCGTGGCTCCAATCGAAGAACTTAAACCATGTGGACAGGTCATGTCCCTAAGGAATACATTCTAGGAAGATTCCTGTACCCAAAACAAAAGTGAAGCACAATAGCTTTATTGAATGAACCACTCACAACCGCACCTGTTGCAATGGCAAATGGCAGTAATGCCAGATCTGTTAACGGTAATGATTAGCTTATGACGAGTTTCAAAACACAGGATCTTATGGGTGAATCACTAAAATTATATGGAGGAAGACTGAATGGTATGTGTCCTATAAGTTAATTATTTATTCAATTATAAGAGTAGGTATGTATTGTAATGGCAGCCTCTACTGAGAGCTCTTTTGCGATTTAGATATAAATAAGAGCATTTTACCACCCTCCCTCCACATTATTACCTCTACCCACACACTGTCATCCCCCCCAAACACACACTGTCAACCCCCACACATGCCCTGTCACCACCCCCACACCCACTGTCACACCACCCACACACACTGCGACCCCCACACACTGTTTCATTCACCCCATAGCCCTGTCATACTAACCTTGCCACAGTTACCCCTTTACTCACCCTGTCACAGAAAACATTCATTATACACAGTCATGAAACATAGCTTCCTCATAAACACAATGCGCAAAGGCCACAGTCAGATGCAAAACACTGAACGCACCACAAGCAGCAACCCCACACACATACAGTCCCAGATGCAAACATACACATAAGACATACATTCACACACAATGATGCTCACTGCCAGACATACACCCACAGGCACATGCTCAGAAATATACACAGCCAGATAAACAATGTGACTTCATGTCTGTATTTGTCATTGTGTGCATCTCTGTGCATCAGTGTGTTTGTGTGTGCTTGGATGTGCGTGTATCAGAGTGTGTATATGTGTTTGTGTATTATTGTGTATATGTGTGCATGTAACAGCGCGTATATGTAAGGGTGTCTTTGGCTGCATTGTGAGGGTGTGAGCGTGGTATGGTATGGGCAATGTAAAGATAAAGTGGAAACATAATATATAATATACATACATTTACAATACAGTGACACACATATAAAGAACATATGTGATAATACATATGTAAAAAGGTTTATATATGGGGGGGGGGTGTTATAGAAAAGTTTGGTGCAGTTTGGGCCTCTTAGGAGGCCTTGAGGCTCAAACTTTAGCGCCCACTGATTGGCAGAATATCTGAGGGGCTGGGATGAACATTGTAGCACTTTATCTGCTGAATTTGGAGGAAACAATCACACTTCACTTTCTCCCATCACACAAAGAGCTGCAAGTGGAAGCAAATAGAGGAGAGAGAAAAACTGAAGCCCTGGCAGTGGACTTATCGACTCAAGGTATTGGAATAGGAGGGCAGCTAAGAACATGCACGCTGTAACTAATTTACGTGTATGTATATTTGATTGTGTGTGTATTCTTGAAAATATTAAACATATTTGCGGGTGATTTTATATTTTAAAGTTGGTGGGTGCCAAATATAAGATCCCCAAGTTAAAATGGTAATCCAGACGTGGGCCCATGCTCACTGTGCCTAGAGGGGTATCAGCTACACCTCACTGACGAGGCTCAAAGAAGGCTGAAATGATCATCTGGGGTTGCTGTGTCTCTCGTGCAGAGGGAACTTGCTGGCATTTTGGTTCTGGACTGCCAGTAACGGTGGGACCAGTCTGACGTGCTTCAGATATGTTCTCTCTGTAATGGCCCAAGTAAGCAAAAATTATTTTGAGAACTGAGTGGGGATTTACCGAAGGCCAAGCTATTGAGTTTCTCTAAGTTTTTGTCCGTTCTCAGAGTCCTCATATTCTTAGTTTTTGCTTCAAAGCAACATAACCATTACATTGAGTTGTAGTTGTTATGTTGCTTAGATTGTCACAAAAATAAAGAGGCTGTTTAAAGATAATGAAGCCTACATAGATCTTGTGATGATGGTTCTGGTTTGGCACCAATTCCCTTAGTGAGCACTTTGGCTCACGGCTTGGTCATTGCTTTTTCTTGTTGACATTATGAGGCACTCTGCCCCAGTTTTGCGTTTCCGTTGATCTATTTATGTTGATGCATTTCCAGGATTGTCTTGTTTTTTTCGCTCTCCCTTGCTTGAGGCTGGGTCCATATTATGCCTAATATCAGATTATCTGATTTCTGCACACTAGTCCTGTTTGGATGCAGCTTCAGGTATGGTCCAGTACTGAGTACCTGCTTGGAGACATACTTGTACTTATTATTTCATTGCTCTCATTTTCAATGGTCCCTGTTTTTCTTGGATTGATGTCTGTTTATGTACCGGTATTTACATTGCCGACAGAGTATGCAGCACTCTTGTACTATCTGCAGATTTTCTGGCAGCCAATTTAGGCTACTTCATGCAGAATGGCTCCTATGAATACATTGGGCTTGCATCCTACTTAATTTTTGCTATATTTTTACTACAGGTTGTTAGCTCAGTATTCACAAACAACACCTTTAACTATTTAAAGAATTCCTATAATGACAATGACAACCCTAACTTGGCATCAATTTAAAGAAAAACTACATTTAACACAACAAACATATTTTGTAACTCAACCATGCAGAGGTATTAATTTAAAAAAAATGTGTTTCATATACTGAACTTACACACAAAGTTAAAGTAAAATGATCACCAGAAGATAACAGAAGGCATGTTCATTGAGCAGAACGAAGATGAAATCTTATGAGAAGATATCCACGAGAAAGTTCAGAATTTCACTGTTGAAATCAATGATATTCTTTTGCCGTTATTAAATTTGCATGTTGTCACCTGAACTGAAAGTCACACTTCTTCAAGATGTATAAAAGAAGAAAAAATATCTCTTTTTCTGGAAGCTGTTGGAAACATTTCCAAAAAGAGATATTTCAAATAAAGTCAATGATCATATCATTAAGCAATTTTCTATCTTCCCGATGTACAAAATGGTCATTAGTCACTCACAAACCCACATTTGTTAATGGGGCAGGGTACACCATTGCTTTTTCAATATATTTGTTGATCTACTTTGTTCTCCAGTCATTATTTTGTTTAGGATCCTGCAGTATTTGATTTCTCTTCTGATTGGCCATTTTCTGAGGAGCATCAGTTGGTTTTGATGACAACACGGCAGTCAGTTGCTCTTGTATCCTTACCAGGCCTCTTAACAGTCTGCTTTTGGTGGGATAGTCCTGATTTTTGGATTCTCTCCCACCATTGCAGTTCAGTTCCCCGGTATCCAGTATCTGCGGACACCAGGGAATTGTACCCAGGCAGCACACCACAAGAGTATCACTAGATGTGCTTGCACTTTGACCATGCAGAGTGTGCTTCAGCAGTGCTCCCAGCATAGTCCTGAAGGCTGTGGCCCAGTCAGACAGTGGGCAGGTCCTCCCCCGTTCCAGGTGGAC